ACTTTCAAGTGTACATTTCAGTGGCATTAAATGCATTCGCATTTTGTATTGAATGCATTCACATTTTTTTGTATTAAATGCAATTACATATTTTGAACAACCTCATTCTCTCATCTTGAGAACCATTTCATTTCCCAAACTGAAGCCCTGACCCCCAAACAGACCTGGAAACAAGTCCCCCCCGGGTGGGTCATGGACATGTTAACATTCAGTAAACTCCAGGCTAGGGGACTTCTGAGCATGACTAACACAACCACGGCATAGCTTACTCAATTAGTTCATTCCTTAACTCGCCTAAGCCTCCCAGGGCCGGAGGCTACTATCACAGAGTCCAGGCTGCAGTCAAGGGAATGGCCAGGCGTTTTACTCAAGGTCGCACGGGTGAGAAAGGACCGTTTGAGCTACCATCTGGGTAAAAACTTCTCCCTAGGTAGGTGTCTTGCACTTGAGGGTGCATCTTGAAGAACAGTGGTTCTTGGATAAAATGAAAAACCTTTCTCTCCATAGCTCCTCACAGCTTGTACATCTGGTGAAGAGAGTTGGTGAATCTGGACTCTGCTATCAATATTTGTCTCTCTAGAAATTCTATTCTCTGCATAAGGCTTTTGCATAGTTCAGCTCCATGGGTTTCTATTTTAGAGCACTCTGGAGCAGACAGGGTGATCAGACAGGAAGCTGAAGCTGCAGGGCCCTGGGCAGGGTGTAGCAGTTATGGCCAGGCTCCCTTCTGGTTCCAAGGCTCCCTAGGTTCAAGAGCTCAGCATGACTTAAGTGTGCAAATTCCAAAAGGCCTTGCCTGGAGTGTGACTCAGGAGTTCTGGCTGGTCTACCTCGATTACAACCGAAGCTAAGAGCTTTACAAAACCCAAAGCCTTGTGTAATCAGAAAGGATGCGTGCCACAGACGCACAGAAACACACAGGACAATTCCACTGGAGATATCTGAAAGGAACTGACGCTTGATTCAGCGACTGGCAGATCAGCTGTGACCGGATGGGTACAAAGACACACAACTGGCTAGAGCTGTCCCTCCAGAACACCCAGAGAGCACATCCAGCCACCGAAAGATGCTTAGTAGTAGAATGAATTAAACGTGTGTGTGCGCGCGCATTCATGTACATGTGCTTGCACACACCCTGTGCCTGAATCCCAGCACTTGGAAGGGAAAGGCAGGAGAAGGAATCCAGGATCAGCTTAGTCTACACTTATAAGTCCAGGTCTGAAAACAAAAAGAATGAGTTTACCCACACATAACCAAGCCGGGTCTTAGTGACTGCCTCAGAATTACACTCACCAAAGAATATTGTCTAATGGGTAGAACCCAACGCTGTGACATCACTTGAACATACCCAGGACACATTCACAGAGATTCTGAGCTACCCAGCCTAGCATAACACGTGAATGCATGTGTGTATGCCCCTATGAGTGCAGGTGCCATTGGAGTCTAGAACTGGGTATCGGGTTCCTGGAACTAGAACTGGTAGTTGGGAGCTGTCCAACACGAGTGCTGAGAACCTAACTCAGGAGCTCTGCAAGAGCAGCGCAAACTCTTAATGGCTGAGCCGTCTCTCCAGGCCCATGTTTGTTTGGTTTGGTTGTTTGGTTGTTTGGTTGGTTGGTTTTCCGAGACAGGGTTTCTCTGTGCAGTTTTGGTGCCTGTCCCGGAACTCGTTCTGTAGACCAGGCTGGCCTCGAACTCACAGAGATTCTCCTGTCTCTGTCTCCTGAGTGCTGGGATTAAAGGTGTGCGCCATCACCGCCTGCTTCCAGCCCCATGTTTTTGGATCATGTCTCATTGTCAAGGCTGGCCTTCAGCTCAGGGACTCAGCTGATCCTCTTGCCTCGGCCACCTCCTCCCAGGTAGCTGGGATGACAGGTGTGCGTCACCACCCCCAGGGCTTGTTCCACTCATCTTTGGATTTGCAGAGTCTCACGAAGCACCCGACACTGAAGTCCTCCATAACTAGAGTGCGGACAGCCACAGGCACACGGGCAACTCTGCTTGGGCTTCCAGATTCTATTGACTGTGCTTATTTTATTTGCCTGTTAAAAAGGTAAACTGAGGCAGGATACAAAATTTTAAAGACTTTTTTTTTTTTTGAAGAAAACAAGGATTCATGAATTGAGCACTTCCAAACTAGGAGGGTTCAGGGGCTCCATTCCCCAAGCATAAAGGATGGGTTTCTGTAGAAAATGTTTGGGTTGCATGACCAGTGAATTAATTAGCTCAATGGGTAAGGGAATCTGCTGCCAAGTCTGAGGACCCGAGTTCAATTCCAGGGTCCCACAGGGCAGAAGAAATGAACTGCACGTTGTCCTCTGACCTCCACCTGTGTCTCATGGCATGACCCCCCCCCCCATAAATAAAAATTTGGCAACCAAGTTGCATTATTTGGTCTATCCCCTAGAACGTGTCTAGTTAACATGTGACCTTCATTGGCTGTTTCCGACTGGCTAAGCTACAGTTCTGTTTTTCTTTAGCACAGACAGATGCAAACTATAATGGAAGTCGTTTTGCTTATGTTTGCAAAGAAGCTAAGGTCACTCACGGGGCCTAGCCAGTTCTGCTTAGGGATCCTTCCCTGGACCTTGTTTGCATATGAATTGACTTTAACAAGCCTGGTGGCCTCCCTGGAAAATACTGGATGATACCCTTTTAATAGACAAGGGAACTGACGCTTAATGAGATCAATAGAGTCTTCGACTGAAACCCAACCAAACTGAATAACAACAAGAAAGGACTTTGTTCAATGCTTGTCCACTCACAGGCTTAGTGACAGGGTGAGCCTCACCTGGTTGCAGCTGTGCCTTGAGGAAGTTTATACCTGTTTGATTTAGCAAATCTGTATTATTGTCTCACCCTACACTGATGTTTGATTTTCATGTTTTATTTTATTTTTTAAGACAGAGTCTCACTGTGTAGTGCAGTTTGCTCCAAAACTAATTATGGAGTCCAGTCTATCCTTAAGCTCATGAGCCTCCTCTTTCCTCCTCCCAAGCCTTGGGATTTGCACACTCGCACCACCACGCCTGGGCCTGGAGTGTAATTTTTTAAAAGTGCTTATTTGTAGAGATCCACAGAGGTTTCCTAGTGAGAACTTACTGAGGACCCGAGAATCTGCACTTGCTTTACCCAGCAGGGCTGCATAAGGAGATGATTTGACCAGGGGCGTGGTTACCAGGTGTTTGGAAGGGTCTACACTTGACTGTGCAGTGAGCTTTGATCTTGCAAGGGGAAGGTCTTTTGCCTCTCCCCTTGGCATATTATAAAAAGTCCTTTGGAATAAACAGGAAAGGTCACTGGGTTTTGATCCAGGTCCTCTAGAAGCTATCCTGTGTTTCTTTCTCCTCTTCGCTATCTTTCTATCTAATATTTCTTATCCCTCTCTCCTCCTCATAAGAACCCTTGAAAAGGTGGGAGCTGGCCTCCCCACTTATTATAGAAAAAAATCAAATGCAAAGATCCCGAATGCCGTTTCCCTGGTGATCCAGTCAGGGTCAGCCTGGCTTTGCTCACACACCCCCTCCACCAGCCTCTGTTTTGAGACAAATTCCAGCACGTATTTCAGTGTGTATATATAGTGACTTAAAAAATGACCTCCAAACCTTCACCATGTCTGAAAAATGAATAATGCCTTCACATCATCAAATACTCTACTATTCACACATTTCTGGTTACCTAAGGGGGGAACAGCCATTCTTTGGGGGATCAGATTAAGTTCTGTATGTGATTGCTATGTCCTGTAACAATTTGAGACAGGGTCTCACTGTGTAGACCAGGCTGACCTCGAACTCGGGGAGCTCCGCCCGCCTCTGTCTCTGCAGTGCTGGAAGTAAAGGTATACTACACCACCATGCCAGCTCATAAACATTTTGAAATCTGTGGTTTTCTCCTTCCTTTCTTTATATTCCTCTCTGTAGTTTAGTTGCTGAAGACCCCCGGTCCTTTGTCATGGTGTCTGCATGTCTGTGGTAATTATATTTGTTTCCAACATTTCCCCTCAGTCTTTACTATGTGTCGTTTACATGAAAGTGAAAGTCCCACCCCCCTTAATCCCATCGCCGAGCATAACCATGGCCAATAGCAGGCCATTCCTCTTAATGGCTGTGTAGCATTCAAGAGTGCGGAGGAGGGTAATTCCTCCCTGTACGACTGGAACTAGAAAGCTGCTTGGGTAGGAAGCCCACGTATGCTTGTTTATTAGGTCACACACTCAGCACGTTCTCTGACATTCTCCTTCATTCACAGATAGAATAAAATGAGGGAGAAGAGACAGTCGGGCATTAATCAATGACACGTACAGTAAAATACAAAGGGAACACGATTCATTCACCTCTAGCAAAAAATTGAAATGACCTCACCCGAAGCTGTGAGTCTGTGGTAAAATTCACATGCATGGTCTCGAAAGCAGTCTGGAATATGTACCAAACCAGAAAACATTCACAGCTCTGATGGCTGATTCTTAGTGTGGACTTGAATGGGCCATGGGGTGTCTGGGTAGTTGATTAGAGTATTTCAGCACATGGGAGGTTGAGACCAGAGGATTGGGGGTTCAAGGCCATCTTCAGCCATAGAGTGAGTTTAAAGGCAGCCCTAGCTCAAGTGTGTGTGTCTGTGCCAGAGGTTTTGTATGGTGTATTTATCTATGGCCCTCCATCTTTTTCGAGACAAGCTCTCTCACAGCCCAGAGATCCCTAATTGGCTAGGCTGGCTGGCCTGGCTAAGCTAGCTGGGGATTCAAACTCAGGGCCTGGTGTTTGCATGGCATTTACTTTACTGGGTTATCTCACCAGCCTCTTGCCAAATCTTTAGAGTAAATCATATCTATAGCCAATTGGTTCTCTTTCCCTAAAGAACCTGCACTAATACAGTATCTTTGCCAAAGCAATCCCATTCCTGAGTTTTGTATCCTAAGAAAACATATCATTCAAAAATATTTTTATAAAAAAAATTAGCCATGGTGGTATTTAAAAAAAAAAACTAAGCAAGCTGTTTACTAGATGGGAACCAAAGGAATTATAGGACATTAATTTGAAAGAAAATTATATAACCATTAATGATAGCTGTGAAGATTATACAGCAGCATGGGAAAGTATGTACTACTAAATGTAATTTATTTAAAAATGAGAACATAAAATCAGAGAAACTCTATAACCATATGAAGAAAAAGTACATAATGAAAAAAAAGTATGCTTGAGTCATAGGATTATATACAATTAAAAAAGGCTTTCACCAACTTGACATTTTAAAACAATAAATAAAAGATATGAAATGAAAACAATAAGGGTGTTCAATTATCAGTGATAACTAGGGTAGATTTCAGAATTTAAACATACCTCCCCAAAGTTTCTACTTTGTAAAGATTCTGAGATGAGGCCGGGACATTTATCTGCACACACACACACACACACACACACACACACACCACGCCTAGCACACCCACCAGCAAATGGACATGTGATTCTTGATTCCAGTGCCTGCTGGTGGCAAATTCTCAGCCTAAAGCCCCCAAGTCCATGTGGAGTCATAAGCTTGCCATTGCTGATAGGCACCGTGGGTGATAAGGACCAGGCTGTCCTCAGCGCGGACCTGGACTGCTTCGACCGCTCTCCTCAGCGTCTGTGGACTGTAGGCAAGCAGGGGCGTGGCCCTCGGAGCAGGACTGCTCCACGAGGCGGAAGGCCTCCAGGAACTCATTGATGTCGATGTGGCCATCCTTGTTGAAGTCGATGCTTCTGGCGAGGTCACAGATGTTGTCATCTGTGATGTCGATGTTCATGTGAGAGCTGAAAAGCTTCCAAGTCTGTCTGAACTCGTCCAGGGAGATGAATCCTTACGAGAGGGGAGAAGTCAGTGAGCCCATAGAGTTTTAGTGCTTAAGGGGAAAACCTGTTCCCCGACTAGTAGGCAGATGCAGACCCCGAGGCTGAGGGTAAAGTATGAACTCCCAAGAGGACCACAGAAGGGCACGGATCATGAGTGCTTTTCATCTGGGAGCAACTGCGTTCCCTGAGAGAGAGGACCATTCAGTAGTGTTGGAGACATTTTTCACAGTCACAGCAAACATGAGAATGGGGTGCTGTGGGCGCCCAGTGGATAAAAGTTGGGGATGCTGCTCAACACCATACAATGCGCAAAATGAACCCCTCAAAATACATGATCCTGCCCAAATGCCCGTAGAGGATGTCTTATGCTAACTCACCCCAGACATATGCTTATTTATACTGCTTACAAATGTGTTTAAGCTGGGCACACTTGTCCCCGCTCCTTGGGATATGGAGGTATGAGGTTTGCTGGAGCCCAGAACTTAGACACCAGCCTGGATAGTGTGCTGAGACCTCACCTCAAAAGCTAAACAGGTCACAACGTAACAAGAGCCCTTGGATCCATGCCTGGGCAGTCAGAGTTTATTTTCCGATTGATTTTCTGCAGTTCTGGAAGTTGAACCCAGGTCAGGGCCTCTCGAAAGCTGGCAAGGGCTCTAACCACTACACTCCATCCTAGGCTCACGTCCACTCGACTTTTCTCATTGTCGTGTCTCTGTTCACACACACATACACATGCTTCTGCACGCTCACGTCCATGTGTGCCTCAGCCTGCATGTGTCGGTCAGAGGGCAACTTTTAGGAGTCAGTTCTCTCCTCCTTCCACTGTGGGGCCTGGGGATTGTCAGGCTGTGTGGCGAGTGCTTCTCTTACCCACTGAGCCACCTCTCTGGCCTTCAGTTGATTTTATTTTTTTAAACAAAGATTCCAAGATCACCTGCTGCTGCTGCAGTCCTGGACGACTAAAGAGGGTGAGGCAAGAAGGTGGCTTGAGCCTGGTAGTTTACAGCCAGGCTAGAAAACACGGGAAGAGTCCATCTCAACTAGATAATAAATGCCCCCAAGGCCATCTGATGTAAAGAGTAGTTTCTCCACACTGCTGGGGATGACTCAGCAGCTGCAGTAACAGGGAATCGCGTTGCTCACCTGAATGATCACTGTCTATGATCCTAAAAATGGTCTCCAAGTTGGATCGGTTTCGATAGAGTTTTTCCAGGAGACTCGACTGTATGTTCTGTAAGAAAACAAACAACACCTTTTCAAATGTCCCAATGTGTAGTTGACACACCATGAACTCTGACAATTATACATCCTTGAAAAAGACCGAAGCTACTTTATTATTATCCCACCTCACTAGAGTGAAGTCGGAATGTCGTCATTCATGTACAAGGACTCTAAAATCGACTGTGGTAGACAGTTGCACGTATTTTCGAATGTAGTCATCCCATCATATCCAGAGGCTTAACCGTGGATGGAAATTGTGTCAGTACTGGACCTGCACAGACGTTCCCCATCATCATTTCCTCTACAATCCAGTATTCCAGATTCTTACATAGCATTTGCATTGCATTAGGTGTTATAAGTCACCTAGAGATCAAAGTCTGCTGGAGGATGTGCACAACCATGCTGTTTTACAGAAGGGATCTGAGCATCCACAGCCCCGTGAGCATCCTCCTCATGCCAGATAACAAGGGACCAGTGCACACTACACATTATTGGATTGTGTTCTTTCAAGTGGGTGAAATACAGAATGTCTGAATTGGGTTGCAACAAAGATGTTTTTTCAAAAGCACATAACGAAAAGTCTCACTTAAGTGACATTGTCACTAACTATTTATTAGCATTTTAAAACAGAGGAGGTGTCATGGTGTTGGGGTAACAAAATGAGATTTAAAGTCAGTAGACTCCAGTTTTGTTTTGTCTTGGTGCTGGAGGTTGATCCAGGGCTTTGGGCATACTAACCACACGCTTTCCCACAGAGTACACCCTTAGCCCATGCCTGAGTCACAGCTGAGGAATTCTATAACCCCAGGCTAAGGTCGTAAGCTCTATGGGCAATGCATTCTCAGGTCTAATAGCATGGATAACACCTACCTTAGGGTGTTTTTGGGGGGATTAATTGAGACAGCTATATAAACCCCCAGAACACACAGGAATGTAACAAATGGTTGCTTCTGTTTTCCCCACCCTGCCTTTGGGGCCCTAAATAGCTATTTCAGAATTCTGGTGCTCCCTAAGGGGGTTCAGTGGCTGCCATGTGCTCTCCCCATCACCACGATCACACCCTTACCTCTCGGCTCAGCTGCTCTTTAGCCAGGCTCTCCAACCAAGTCTTGTACTCCAGCACATTATCCACCGAACTGTTCACCAGCTGTGGCCGGAGCATCCGCCATGGCAACCCCAGGTGCAGTACAGACTCCACAGCGACAGCCCAGTCACTCAGGGTGATTACGCCTGTGGGAACAGCCTGGCCTGTTGACCTGCCGCCTACAAGTCCAGTTTCTTGTCCAGTAGGACATGCATGCAGTGCCTACATTTGTATCCTGACAGTCTTGAACTAGAAGTGGGTAATGGGAAGAATGGGCATGGCCACTACCTCTGTTGGTCATGGCGGAGTGGACTGACTGGAAATGGGGCTTGCCGGATGATATATAAGATGGCCAGTTTGAACTTCAGAGAGGCAACAAAGCGTGCGTGTGTGTGTGTGTGTGTGTGTGTGTGTGTGTGTGTGTGTGTGTGTGTGTGTGTGTGTCTGTGTGTGTGTGATATGGTATAAATTTTGTGTGTGCCTATAATTAAAACTTAATTATGTATTCTTTTTTAAAGATTTATTTATTTATGTATGTATACCGTGTTCTGCCTGCATGTATCCCTGTGACCAGAAGAGGGCACCAGATCTCATTATAGATGGTTGTGAGCCACCATGTGGTCGCTGGGAATTGAACTCAGGTCCTCTGGAAGAGTAGCCAGTGTTCTTAACCTCTATGCCATCTCTCCAGTCCCAATTATGTATATTTTTATTTATTAAATTTGGGTACATGAAGATTATTGTGAGTCATATAAAATATATGTGTATTAGGTATGTGTATTTGTGTATATGTAAGTATATGTGTGTGTGTGTGTGTGTGTGTGTGTGTGTGTGTGTGTATTGAAGGGCTCTCTAACAGGCCCAAGCATGGCAAACGTGGCTCTGGCAGGCCTTGCCCTTCCCCCATCCCCTCTTCCTTGCTAAACCACAGGTACCACCAAGGTCCATTCCCTTATTTGGCCACTTCCTTCTCCTGAGGCTGACCACTGAGGTCCAGCTATCAAAGTATTGAAGTCCAGCAATGAAAAGCCCCCTTTGGCTCACCTAATTGACATGCCCTATTACAATTACCCACCTCATCCTAACATGGGGTTTCCCCTTTTACCTTTATAAACCACCATTTGCCTATGTGACACATCAGTCTCCTCTCTATCCAGAGACAGTCCTTTGTCTCTGCAGGACAGATACCCTGTCCCCTCTCCCTGGTTCCTTTCCCTTCTCCCTCACCCTCTATCTCCTGTCTTGGTTCCTTATCCTTGCCCTCTGTCCCTCTGGGGAAATACATCTCCTTTGTGCTGAGAACTTGGTCTTCGTGTGTCCTGGACCAACTCCAGTCCTTTCATGTATGATATGAGTCTGTGTCTCTCTGTGTCTGTCTCTCTCTGTCTCTCTGTCTCT